CAATCTAGGCTTCAGTTGAATAATTGCTCGTCTTTATTCATTATGTAATGGCTTTTCCCCTCTTTTGTATTTTATCGTGCCAATTAGGCACGCTACGCGTGGTTCGTCCCTCTGGAATGACTGGTTGGAGCGTGTCTCAGTGCATCGAATGACTTTGTCCCTTGACGTGTCCTTCAGTAAGAATGGGACGAGGACAAAGAAAAGGCATTTTTGAGACCCGCTTCGATTTTCCTTTGCTTTCCATCTCTTTGTCACCGTTCAGAAATACGAGGAGTTCCTTCAGTCAGTTCCTCCCTTTTCACCAATTAGATGGATTTCTCTTACTGGAGATTCCCTGCACTTGGTCATGCGGAACACACAAAAACCCTTCCGAGGTTCTTGGAGTCATTTGCGCCTTTCCCCCCAGCACACGCTTCTAAGAAAATCAGTATAATTCGTTTGCATCACATAATTCTCACCACCATGGAACATATCATCGTCATCTTGAAGGAGAAAGTGACTTCGAATAAAGAGGAGCTCACAGCCTCATAGCCAGTTGCGTTATCTTAGCCATAGGGTATTTCATTGGGAATTCCAGTTCTCTTACTCATACTTCTTGCTTATAAACTTGAAAGCAGTTTCCTTCTTTGACGCATTTAAGAAAACTCGAGATGATCCTAACCACGACCATCGGGTTAAGATGCATCGCATCTCATCCTGATGTGGCAGATATTGCAGTACCAGTAGTTCAGTTCCTTATTTCGCAGACATACTCTCTCTCTTTCAAATTTCCTTTAATCTTTGCCTGTATAGCGGCTACTTCTTGACTGCTGATGGAAGCCAACAGCCGTTATGGATCGAAATGGATCAAAACCTCGTAGACAGTCTTGCACGGGACAGCGCACGAGAGGAGGGGAACATCGGTAGGTCTTATCGGGGAATCTATCGGAACGGTGAAGGAATCGACTCAGACTTGAAGGGTTCGTGCGGAGGGAACGAAGGCAAGAACAACAGGGCTTCCACACGCTGTCCGTTGCGAAGGACTCTGTGGAACACGTTCGTTCCATTTTTTTTTCCAGAACTTTTTCAGCTCTTTGATGTGAAGGTCATGGTTTTAGTTTTGCTCACCGATGAACTTCTGCAGTATTCATATAGACGCGCAGGTGACATCCCGTGAGGAAATCTATTATTGGAATACACTGGGGGAAGGTGTTGTGAGTGGCAAAGGGAACAGCAGTGTCAAATTGTAGATTGCGAAATAAATCCCGAGAAGAATCTTGCTTTCACGGGGGCCTCGAGCCCCGAGCTCACCAAAACGCGTACAAACGAACTGGACAAAGTTTTCCCAAATACCTGTCTTTTTTTTGCTGAAAGTTTGAGTTTTTTGCTGAAAAAATAGTGGGTGGCTTCGGAGCCGGCGTCGGAGGATACATAGACGAAATCAGGAAATTCAGTGAATCGTCTTCCTCCGTCATACCCGACGATAAGCCCAACGTGAGCCCAATTTCCAAGGGACTCGTTCAACGCGTGGATTCCGCTGCTGAGCCGAGAGTGTGCATTCCCATGTACGACTGGGTCCTGAGCCTGGAGGTCGGCGAGGACTTCTCCGCCGAGGAGGAGAAAATCATCCTGAGATCTGCAGCCTTTCCCTTGAGGGAGCCGTTCTGTCCTGGGCCGTTCCGGGTCAAGGCGGACGCGGACACGTGAACGAGCAGCCGAACGAACACGTCATATCGAGGATGTTCGAGTTCTGCTCGTTCAACTTCGATTCCTCAGAAACTGAGAACCGACGGAAGAGTACAGTCTTTAAGTACTTTAAGAAGGCTGTGATTGTGTTTCAAAAACGAAAGGAGTCCAAAGATTTAGCGGAGTCATGGGTCGAAACTTGAACATTTCTGAGACCTAGTAAGAGTGCATTTTTGACGTTATAAAAAATGTCTTTCATTTCTCAACCGCGAACCAGTGTCTGATTTTGGACTTTAACAGTTGCAGCCTGATAAATCTGCTTTTATAATGTGGAATGGAAGCAAGGTCCTCTGGAAGCATTTTAGAATGCATTCACCCGCATGGGCGTAACTTTGGCTCATTGCCAAGCCTGAATTTGATGGTAAGCGATGTTTCAAGTGAAGTCAAGTCACTTCTTAGAGGATGAGGATCAGTATTTAAAAAAAATTATTTTCAGAAGGGAAAAATCTCTCTTCCATGAAGGTCCTCGTACCAGTTCAGTATCTTTGGCTTGCATGCATGAAGTGACACGAAAAATACACGCCGGGATAAAGGTTGAGGGGGGGTTTCTTGGTGTGAACCGCAAGTGCTAAGAACCTCGATTGCCTCCGCCAAGAACACGGGTCTTCGGTATCCCCTCAGGTCGGCACCTTCTTTGACCGAAAAAAGGCGAGTGATGATCGGAACATTCTCGGGAGACTTCACACAGGAAATAGAGGGTGAGCATGATGGCCATGAAGCTCGAGTGAGAAAGCTCACCTTGATGACCAGCACCCCTCGACAAAGCTCCCAGGAAGTGCATGCATTCCCGTGAAAGTTCATTCGAGGTCTTCATGGGCAATATACACCCTTTCTAGTTAACATTTTGGCAATATATACTCTTTCCATATACATCGTACAAAAAATACACGCCATGTTTTGATGCAAGTAGAGGACCAGGATCGTCCAGACGAAATACAGTAAGTGGCCTCATGATTCCTGTCTCATAATTGCGGAGTGATTGCGGAGCACAACGTTTCGAATGGTTGGTCTCCCCAATGCTGAAGATCGAAAATTCCTTCGCAACGTAGGCCTACTCAGTCATTGGTCTGTTTCTTTCTCCGACCTCTCTCATCTCAAGGAAATAGACATTCATGACACTTGAGAGAAGTGCTTATTCCTTCTGATCGAGAACTGAGCCTACTCCATAATCTGCTCGTGGATTCGACTCGAGGACTGAATTATTATTCTTTCTTCCGTTGGGCCGGGATTGCCTGACGTCTCCAGGGGCTGGTGTGGATCCCGCCCTTCCCCTCCTTCCCACCTCTCAATCGGGAGATCAGTGTCGAGGGGTGGGGTGGTGCGTGCTTTGTCTCGAGTTGCCTGAAACCTTAATCTGGAGCAGGGTTTGTTGTCGAGGACTAGAACCCCGTGGAATGTGTTGCAGCTTCAGGCACTCATTGGCTCCTGCTGGAGTGAATATGGCCAAGGTGGGTAGGCAAAGTGGGGCGAGGATGACACCAGACCTTCCGATAGGACTAAATGCATCGTTCGACGCCGTTCACATACCTGGTAGTAAGGGCATATACCCGTATAGCACACGCTAGTGCTATACGGGTCACTTGGCGGCGGGGGGGATGATCTTGTACGGAAGAGCATGTGCCTCCAAGTGCATGCACACCCTTTTTTCATATGTTTAGCACCCTTCACTCGAACTTATTCATTGATATGATGGTATGAGTAAATTACCTGAGTGGATTTCAGTTTGAGTAGTTAAGGGCGATGGTGTCATGGGGCGTGTGCTGTATTTCAATTCGGTGGGATTCAAGGATATGAATTTAGCAACATTCTGTATTTTCTCGTATTTCGGATTTTTAATGCTGATGATTGCTTCAGGATTTCTTTTGGGTTCATCTCCGATTCACCCTGAAATGAACTTACCTGTTGGGCTATCTGCAGGTAACGGCTTTGTGCTTGAAACAGCTCTTCTCCTTCCGGGAAGTTTGGGAGGATTCCAGTTCCCAACCAACTCATCTAACATTTATGCATCAACAGTATTTTGCAATAGCAAACTGCAACAGAATATGCTTTTTTTCGGGAAAATGACCTCCATTGCTTCCAAGCACTTCTACAAAGAAACTGTATCCCATGAGAACCATTGATTTTCAATTTCTTGAGAAAGAATGTGAAGGGATTCCAATGGGAAGAGAATCGTCACAACCGCTCACATTCATAACGACCGTTTCATTCACGTAATGATCTCTTGAAATCTTACAATAGAAATTGGTAGAGGTTGCAAGTGCTAACCCATTCGTATTTCACGAGTGGTATCCAAGGATCCAGATTGAATCAGTTTCTATGTTGTCTACTTATTTATGTCCGGTTTACGTAAAAATTGAATTCGAGTAATTTATGGAAGAAAGCTAATCACTTTCCCCTTTTAAATTGCAATTTAAAACAGTTTTCATCAGGTTCCAAATGGTTTTATTCCCCGAAAACAAGAGAAATACACAGTGTTTAGGTACCACAAGAAATTGCACATGCTCGAATGAGCGTCCTATTGTGCTCTGCCATCCTAACCTACTAAATATGAAGCTCTGAAAGTCTTCACACTGAATTTGCAACATCCCAGGACATCTCATCAGACATACCTTGTGAAAATAGCATATAGTAGCATTTTCCGTAACATAGCGGAAAAAATTAATTTTGCACTTACCCAATCGCATCGTCTGACGTCGCGGGTGCCATTCAATAGACATCGACTTGTAAAAAAAAATATCCATGGACTCGATCCAAGGCACACGAGGTCAATGGGATACGAGAAAAGTTAAACTGCCGCCCTGACATATGGGGTTCACTCTAAGAATCAAGGTTTTCCAGAAGAGAATAATGAAGGCGAATAAATAGCAATTTTTGCAAGTCTTCCCCAGTGAGTGCCGGACAGTTTCAAAGAAAATTCGAAAGTCCATGAATTTCGTGCATGTTAAAAGTGCTGTCTTCCCTGGGGGGTCATTTTTCTCCGATGGGATTTCTCAAAACCAGAAATATTTCACCCAATAGTAAATGCAATGCAAAATGCAATCTCTCCTAATTACAGCGTTGTGACGAACACTAAGGGACGTTTTCAGATTTAGTTGGGATTTCTTTGATGCAGAGTAAAGATTATGTTGGGTGCGTGCATACCAATACTTAAAAATCTAAATTCTTTTCCTCTGGTGTTCTCAGATTTTGTTCGCACCTAGAGAGGCGATAGTGAAGGCAATATTTATATATATTGAAGGATTATTAGTTGTGAAGTTTGTAAATCCCTTCTCCATTCAGGTCTTCCCGTCGACACTGACTCCAAGTTTTCCTTTGAAGGCGGTCCACAAGAAGAAGAAGGATTCCAAAACAAGATCTAAGACGGAGACGATGCTGATGCCGAGGCAGATCCCGACGATTCCTCCGAGGCTGGACAGCAGGTCCAGCGTGTTCATCTTCACCGTATCCTTCAGATGAAGCACCTAAAGGAGCAGAAGTTGCCGAATGGATCCTTCGATCACGAAACGCATGCAAAATTCATTTCATACCCGCATCGATGGAATGCTGAAGTACATCCCTGTCCAGTTCGCATTGAACGTGGTGGCGGTGACGCGGTAGTCTACGTACTTGCATCGAACGGGGCAGCTGCAGTTCAAATCATCGGTTTTCGCCAAGTACTGGTCCAAGATGGAAAACTGCGTCGTTTCATCGACGACGGTTTTGCATTCGGATATGTTCAAGCTTGCCTCTTTCGGTAGAAGCCTTGGATTGAGACATGGGAGTTCCTTGTGCGATTGAACTTTCTCCCAGAAGCAATTCTCAATGCACTGTTTAAAAAAAAAATTCTGGTGAGACTATGCATTGCTAAAATTGATTAAGAAAAATTGAATATACATGCTACAACTCGCACAAATAAAAAATTATCGCAAAAATTTTGCACTTGTTTTGCACTTACCCTCATGTAACTATAATTTTCTTCCTTTTGGCATGGGTCACTCTTCCTGTCAAGCTGCTCCCAGAACTCAGGACGAATTTGCACATGAGCAGCCAAGTCAGGGTAGAGCGTGATTTTCTCGGCCGCAAAAGCGCCCAAGAAGCTCGAGAATGGCTCTTTCTGGTCGTGGATGTAAACCTCCATGAATTTCTTCTCGTCCTACACAAATTTCAATTTTAACGAATAAAAAAAAATGTAATGGCAGTTTTCGTCGCACTAGATGTAGGAAAAAGTCATAAGAATAGAATGAATTCTTCACTAAGTACTTCAGATGCAATAATTAATTGAAACCATATGTGGCAACAGAAACTCTGAAATGCGTTTGAGAAGAATTGAGGAAGAAAATTTAAATTCAATCGAAGAATCAATAAAATGTTAGAATTCAGCATATTTCATGGATTTGGTATCCATCTTGTCGCTTACGTAGCACCGCTTCGAAAGGGAACGGACGCAAGGCACTAATTCTCTCTGAATGAGTCGGCAGAACTCATCCCTGAGACCTCATACAATCCAAGCCTGTAAGCATGGATAAAGAAACTCTTGCAAGAACAATAGGGAGTAGAAGATTCCTACGCACGCAGTAGCTGCAGGGCTCGAGCTCCGACAAGTCGAATTGGAAGTAGTTGTATCTGGATGTATTTGCACCGGTCTTGATGGATTCATTCAAGAGAAGAGTGAAGCATTTGTAATATGCGAGTAATATGTCGTCCTTGTCTCCGTATGAGAAAACCGTCCTTTCAATCAACTGACTGCCTGGAAATCCTGTAACGATTTTAATGAGAACCCATGAGGCATGAGGACGACGATTAAGTTATTACTGCTACATGGTGCCTCATACGTCACAATACAATTTCAAATGGCAATATTTTTCAAACTGCAACACGCAGATCAATGTTGTTAGTATTGATGGAAAGAACGTTCTTAAGAATTTTTCCCCATAATAATGACTTTAAATCAGATTCAAATGGAACTAGCTTCAAATGCATTTTAGAAAGGTGTACTTATTTAGGGACATTTTGGTAAACTTTGTTGATTTCTCTCCTGGCTTAACTTCATGTTTTTTTTGCTAAACTTTATTTTTACTACCTTCTAACTTCTGAAAGACTTGAGCGACAGGAAGAATAGTACAATATAATTTTATTTTACCGTCTTGAGAAAAGCTTTTTAACTTAATTTCTTGCTGGAGAACGAGAAAAGTTATAACCTGAATGGAGGTCTCTCAGTCCCATCAAAGTTAAAAGGAAGTTTCAGTAATTTGATGATACCAAATGTATGAGTAACATGCCAAATTTATTGATATTGGAATCGGTGATTTTGAGGCACTTCCAAAACGCAGAAATACCTCCTGTTTTGAGAAAGATAATTCCGAAGGGCTTGCTTTCGTTCAGTAAATATTGTTTCTTTTTGTGTCAACCTTTCCATAGATATGATTTTTGAAATGGGACTTACGGGACACCCTATATAATTCCAGTGACTATTATTGGGTGATTCCATGTCAGTCCGCACACTATTTTCCCCCACTCGTTGCAATTACTTCACCGAAATTCGGTGAATATGAGCACCTGCTATTATAGCAGGTACTCAAACATTACATGCTTTCCTAGCGTCCGAGCGACCAAGTACCTTCTGAAAGTACATTCCTCCAGAAGGATGTCAAAGTTCTGAAGGCGTAAGACATGGTACATGCTTTGTGAGCTAATGTACCGCTAAATCAAAACGATCAGGACTGATTACTGGTGATAAGTGAATCGCAGGTACAAGCCCATGTCTCTGATGTTGTGCAATATAGTTGCATGTTATGAAAGACGTGCACCAAAATGCTCATATCAGTATTGATAGTCAAAAACCCATGATGAAACATGCGGTGTGCATATATCAAGTCATGGCTTATGATCTATTAATAGAATTTTAGCGAAATCGAATTTGGGAACTTAGGTCCGGGTCAGGTCAAATATCAGCAGGATTACAAACTTTTTTTTGACGAAGTCCTTGCTTTCTTTCACCGTGTGTTACATATCGGATAAGAAATTGCATAAGCTATCCATCGATACCATATTCGCGTATGTTTCTTCATTAATAAGGAAGTTATGACAATTTTTGTGATCAATGGGCCCAAAGTGCCCAAAAATTTCCGAATTTGTGATGGTATGTCATTTTCAGCATACGTTATGTACAGAGCTGGAATTTGCTGTAGTTTGTTCTCTTAATAGGTACTATCAGCATGCCGAATTTCATAGAAATTGGAGGGGGTCGGGGAAAATAGTGTGCGGACTGACACGGAATCAACCTATAATAAAAGTAACTAGCCAAACCATGCATTGAATTGGAAGCATACTTGGCGTTCGACCCACCTTGTGAATCTTCCCATATATTCTCTCCGTTTGCGCGTTTAACAAAGGACCAGTTGGTCTGGCTGTCGGAGAAGTCCCGTGAAATATTTAGAATCATGTCATTCCACGCGACCGACGTAATTTCGAAGAGTTCGGCGAACGTTGAATTCCCGGAGGAGTAGTCATCGCCTGGTTTCCATTTTGCCCAGGAAATGGCGTTGACGGATGGCCAAGGACAGAAAGTGAAGGCTGGGGCTCTCACCCTATCCATTCGCTTCTTCTCTTGTAACGTGCTGATAGGGACGGAGCGGAACTCTTCGATCAGTGCTATCACCTGGAAGATTGAAGGTAATGCGATGGAGACTCTGGTGTCATGATGCAAAGAGGAGGAGTGGGGAGTGGGGGAGGGGGGGGGGGAAGTCACTTGGTTGAAAGCAATAGCCGTCGATACGAAGACGATGATGCCCCGTAGGATGTTTCGAACGAGGTCCTTCATCTTTGCTCTCCCTCGTCTGTCTTCCTTCTCTGAAAGAAGATGCAAGTTTCCCTTCTTAAACTGAGTCATTCGTCCCGAATAAATCTCCTTGATCCTCACCTCCATGCAAGGGATTCCTAGATCTAATTCTCCCTACTGCGACCCTGCTCTTAGTTCGACGGCGTCGACTGGCGAAGATTCAGGTTTCACTTTTGTCTTACATTGCTTGAACTTTAACTTCACATTGTGCAGTTCTGACGTGAATCGTCGGAATATCCTTTGTATACTGTCGCTCGTAGGGCGAGGCGCAGGGAGTAACGACTTTGTAAGCACTTTTGACACTTTTGTATACACTGGAAAATCGTTGGACTGATCGAAGGTTGGGAGCGTTATCACCTCATTAATCTGGACTTCATGCGAATAATTGTCTTTCCTCCTTCATTATTCAATAGCTTTTTCTCTCTTTCGTTTTTCTTTTTTTATCGCGCCAATTAGTCATTGTAAGCGTGACGTTCGTCACTCTGGAATGACTGATGGTTTGGGGTGCGTCACAATGTATCGAATGACGTTGTCGCTTGCCGTGTCATTCAGAAAGAGGACGAAGGACAGGAAGATTTGGAGATGCGGTTCGATTTTCCTTGCTTTCCATCTCATCGTCACCGTTCGGAAATACAAGGAGTTCTTGAAAGGTTTCCTGGTCCACATTGCATTTCCGTGCACCAAACCGTCTTCTATGTTCAACTGCAACAAGTTCTTGAAATTTTTGGGGGTAGGGGTAGCAAATACCCCTACTCTTCCGGACGTGAGGACAAGATACCTTCTGCTCCTCTTCCTTTTCACCAGTTAGATGAATATCTCTTACTGGAGATTCCCAACGTCTGGTCATGGGAACAAGCAAATACCCTTCCGAGTTTCTTGGAGTCATTTGGAGAAATTCCGTGCGACTGGTTTGCATCACATACGGGACAGAAAATTCTCACCACAGCCTGGGACATATCGGCGTCCACTTGAAGGAGAAAGTGACTTTGAATGAAGAGGAGCTTACAATCTCATAGTCAGTCGTGTTATCCCAGCCATAGAATATTTCCCGTACTCTTACCGGGTCATCTTGCTGATAGACTTGAAAGTAGTTTCCTTTTGTGACGCATGTAAGAGAACTCGAGATCATCCTAACCACGATAATCATGTTAATATGCAACACATCTTAACCTGATGTATAAGATATTCCGGTACCAGTCGTTCAGTACCTCATTCCGCAGCCATGCTCTTTCTTTCAAATTCTTTTTTTTTGCTGCTTGTACTGCGGCTACATCTTGACTGCTGATGGAATCCAACAAACATTATGGATCGAAATGAGTCCCCTTACGAAAAAGTCCATCAGGAAACCGATAGATATTTTTAATAGGAAATCTATTGACTTTTCCTATAGGTTTTTGAAACACAAAAGTCCTCTAGGATCCCTACTGGGTCCTATAGGACTCCTGACCTATAGGATTTGGTGAGGCTTTTTGGGTTTCGAAACCCTGGCATTACAACCGGGATGACCACCGGGGACAATTTGCTGTATATTAATTGGTAGGGGTTTTCCCAAGTTGGGGCATTCGTATCTCCAGTACTAGTACTGCCGTCACTTATACAGTTCTCTTCCCAGGATTGTGTGTCCACTTCCTTCCGTGGAATGAGAAAGATCATTCTCCACTCGGCCTAAGGATGAAGCCGACAAAGGCTGGGTACGCCATCCCTTTACTGAAATTCCTTTTGGATAAAGAACACCTTTTCTCGTATGGGGTTCTACATAGGGAATGTCAATTTATTTCTGGTCTGGACTCCATGATTTTGTCTAGAATATGGGGTAGCAAATAAGGAAGTGCCCAAGTATTTTGATTGCTTCAATGAAGCAAAGCGAGACATATGGGGAGGTACCAAGAAAACGTTGTGGGATGATTCCATGGATAGAAGGAAGGGCACTTTTGTGTACTGTGCGAAATTCCACACCCATACCTCGATCAAGTGGCCTAGAGAAGAACTTCAACAATTTCCCCCAAAACTTTCAAATACAGCGTGGGCACATTGGATCGATGATGGAATGACAATATTGGGAAGTCGATATTTACCCGGTATTGGCAATATTGGGCAAGGTGCAGCCAACGTGCCCGATTGTTGGTCTAGCATTGAGCCGATATCTGGTGCTGCAGGGGTTGGGAATCAGCATTCCAATGAGCTACATTACAAAGTTGACTCAACGTTCAGCCAGTGTTGAACTTCAACGTTCATCGGAGTATAGTGATGAGCGACATTTAAATGTTGAATTAATGTTAGATGCAATGCCCCCACGACACTCGGAAGGTTCAAACTTGACGTTCATTCGATGCTGATTGAATATTCGTTTGTTACCTGGGCCATTCCTCTTCCCCCCAATACAGTGACGGATTCGGGGATTGGGAGGAAGGGGGGGGGGGGCGATAGAAGTGCCTTTTATGAATAATTTCTGTTTCCCCCTCTTCTCTAACAGATGTGCTTTCCATCATGGACTTATGGGATTCTCATAGGAACCTAATAGATCCTATAGGAAGTCTAATGTATACATTCTCATAGGAAACTTATACGTCCCGAGAGCGTTGGAACCAGGGGGGCAGGGGTGGTCGATGCCCCCTCACTTTTTCAGATGGGGGGGCAAAGAGTTTCTTTTCCCCCTCCCGTCTCCCACTTTTTCAACCTAAGAGTGATGTTTACATTGGCAAGTTGCGACTTCAGAACCTTCCTGGCTATTCAATGGGGTTTGGAAAGTAAATTTAGCTTGAAGCGAAGTTAATGCCTGAGGGGGAATGGTAGGTAGGGCGCACTTCATAAGCACTCAGTAGCTGTTTTTTTTTTCCCCTTCGTTTCAAAATCTCTCATCCGATTAGACTTGGCCTCCGTTCTCTAAAGTCTTTCCTTGTAAAGAAGGGAGGGTCTGGAGGCAAGTCCCCTTCAGTCATGAGTCTGGCTTCAAACATTTTAATGGTAGAACAGTGAACAGTTCAGCGTCATGTCACGGAAGAGAAGTGCTCAAACTGGAACGCTTTTTCATTTCGTTACGAAACGAAAGACGGAAAAATATGAAGAAAATTCAGGAATGGAAAAACTTCAGCGGTGTTTTATTTAGCGGTTGTCTTTACGGACAAGGTTGCACACGAACCTATGCACTTTAGTGAAAGTGGGCATTTTCAACCGCAAAAATGTAAAATCCCTAGGAAAGGGGGCGGGGCATTCGATTGAAAGTGATATATGTGGCCATGTATTTTATACTTGCCCACGAAAGACGCGGTTTTGTGCTACGTACGTTATGTGTGCATCAGCAGAGAGGTCTTTTTCGGAATTGAGGCGGCTCAAGAATTGGATGCAGACGTCGAAGACGCAACAGCGCCTGGCAAATGCCTCAGTGATGTGTGCACATCAATGCATTTTGGACTCAGAATGAGATAAATTGATGACATATTTTGCGAAGAAAACCGAGGGAAGGAGAATATTTACATTCTAGTGTCACGTGAATTATTTATCCTATTTGTGTTAGAATTAAATGGTGATTTTCCGAATTTCGGAATGACCTAACTCATTTGCCCCCCCCCCCCCCACTTACGAGGACGAGGCCTATGATAAGTCCAATGAGAAACCTATGAACCTTATAGGAACCTTATGAATTCCATTTAGGAATGCATGCTTACAGGTTCTAAAGGAAACCTGTTTGGGAATGCGACTCTTGGGTCAAGGCGATACAGTCTGAACCCCGATAAGGCCGATACCCAGGCAACGATGGCATCAATCGAATGAATATCGTGTTACGAGAGGATTTCAATGGAAAATACAGTATAATTTTTTTAAGTCAATTTTTAAAATTTATCACAATTGTAACTGTTCTTCAATAAAAGTCAAAACAAATATCTACTCAAATATGAACTCAAATACTCAAATATAAACAGCTACTCTTCTTCTATGGTGGAAATGAAAGCATCTTTCTTCAGATCATACGAGGATTTTTAGAATTTGTGGTAACATTTGCAAATCGCTACATTCTTATTTCGCGTGATTTGGGCGGAGCTCCGCTAGTTATTGATAATGTGTTATGAGATGTTTGAGCTGCAACCATGCCATCTGGTATTCACTCCAGGAGTCAAGGTTTAACAGGAGATAAGAGTGATGGCGAATGAATCGTCTCTTTTGCAAGTCATCCCAAGTGAGTGAGCTCTCTCACGAGTTTCATGCAAGTAAAAAGTGCTCTACTCCCAATGGGGGGGGGGTATTTTCTCTGAAACTAGAAAAATTGTACCTGTTAGAAAATGCAAGACAAAATGTTTAAAATATCTCCTATTTCTAGAGTTGCGAACATCTTTCGTAGATGGTTTTCGGATATTTCTCGGCTGTTTATGATACGGGAAAGAGATGAAGTGTAAGCTAAAATGGGTGTGTGCACGAATCACTAGTATAAAACAGTATATAATAGTATATGAAGTAATTTCAATCGCTTTCCCTTTCTTCAACCTCCCCCCCCCCTCTCCAGCCTCTCTACGGGACTCACTAACGTAAGGCTTAGGCCTAACCAACAGACTGCCTTCAGATCACGTCAAGGCTACCTTTTCCATTTCAAAAGAAACTCAATTCTCGACTTACGGCACCAATTAGGCCTATTCTCTTTCTTCCGAAAACCTCCCAGAAGTGCCTAGCCAGGGGGGGGGGAGAAAAAAAAAACAAAAAAAAACGGAATTAATCGGAATGAAACACGGAAGTTTCAGTTTTCTTCACAACCCGGGGGAGATAGAACTTCAAATTTGCTGGAGCGATTCTTTGTTGAGATGGGAAGAAGTCTGCCCAATTTCGTACCTGTAGATCCTCTCAGAGAGGAATACGAGGAGGTTGGATTTTGTGACGGGAAGGGGTTGAAGAAAGGGAATAGGCGCTACCAAAGCCTATTGATCATTGTAAATAACTTGAAATCGAATTTCTTTCGCTCCGGTTTATAGACATTGTCTGCATGACAATATTGAAAAATTGCTTTCGGACGCGTGAAAGATGGATGATATCATGTAGCAGGTGCTGCTTGTTAAATCATTCACAATTCTATGGATTTTCTGAATCGATGCAAGGCAAGAGTCAGTCAGACTGGGAAAGTTGAAGAAATTCGGGCAAAAAAAAGGAATGACGAGATTTGGACGATAGAAACTTGATTATGCGTTGAGATATTTTCGGATTTTTTTAACCCGTTCAAGTTTCCTCGCTGACCTTGATTCCAAGTTTCCTTTTGAATTTGGGCCATAAAAAGGAGATGGCGTCCGAAACGAGGTCGAAGACGGAGACGATGCTGATGCCGAGGCAGATCCCGACGATCCCGCCGATGTTGGACAGCAGGTCCAGCAGGTTCACCTTCGCCGTCTCCCTCAGAAGCATCTGAAGGAACAGAAAGAGCCGAATCGATCCTCCGATCGCGAAGCGCATGCGAAAGGCATCCACACCCTCCATACCCGCTTCGATAGAATGCTGAAATACATTCAGTCCAATTCGAATCGTACGTGGTGGCGGAGACGTGGTACTCTACGTACTTGCATCGAACGGGGCAGCTGCAGTTAAAATCCCCGGTTTCCGCCGTGCCGATTCAAGATAGAAAGCTGCATCGCTTCATCGTCGACGGTTGTCCATTCGGATTTGTTCAATGGTGCTTCCTTCGTAGAAGCATTGAATTTAGGCATGGAAGTTCTTGGTGGGATTGAACTTCCTTCCAGAAACATTTCTCCATGCACTATTTAAAGGAAAGAAATCTGAGAGAGATTTTGCATTGCCTAAGTTGCAAAAAAAATATACGATATATATACAAGAAAATATTCTAAAACTGTAGCATTCATTTTGCACTTACCCTAGTGTAGATCTAATTTTTCTCCTTCCAGCAGGGGTCACTCCCCCTGTCAAGCTGCTTCCAGAATTCAGGTAGAATTTGGACATCTGCAGGCAAGTCAGGGTAGAGCGTGATTTTCTCTGCCGCAATTGCGCCCAAGAAGCTCGAGAAGGCCTCCCACTGGTCATGGATGTAAACTTCCATGTACTTAGGCTCTTCCTGCACCAATTCCAATGTTCATGAA